AAAAAAAAAAAAAAAAAAAAAAAAAAAAAGACACACAAACGGCCGACAGGAATATGAAAAACGTTTAGCATCACTAATCATCAGAGAAATGCAAATCAGAACCACAATGAGATATAATCTCATCCCAGTTGAAATGGCTTTTATCCAAAAGACCAGCAATATAGAATGCTGATAAAGATGTGGAGAAAGAGGAACACTTGTACACTGTTGGTAGGAATGTATGTTAGTACAGCACTGTGAAGAACAGTATGGAGAGTCCTCAAACAACTAAACACAGAGCCACCATATGAGCCAGCAATCGTACTGCTGAGTAAATACCAAATAAATAAATAAATAAATGAGGAAATCAGTAAATCAAAGTGGTATCTGCCCTCCCACGTTTATTGCAGCAATATTCACAATTGCCAAAATATGGAATAAATCTAAGTGTTCATCAGTGGGTAGATGGGTAAAGAAAATGTGGTACATATACACAAGGTAATATTTTTCAGCCTTAAAAAAGAAAAAAAATCCATTCATTTGCTGCAACATGGATAGAACTGGAAAACATTAAGTGAAATAAGCCAGGCACAGAAAGACACTAGTGTGAATGTTCACACTAATATGTGGGAACTTGAAAAAAAAAAAAAAAAACAAGAAGAAGAAGAACTCATGGAGATAGAAGGTAGAATGATAATTACTAGAGTCTGGGAAGGGTAGTGGGGAGGGGGCAGATGAAGAGGGCATGGTTATTGGGTCCAAAAATGCACTTAGATAGAAGGAATAAAATCTAGTGTTTGGTAGCACAATAGGGCAACTATAGTTAATAGCTTATTGTATATTTCAGAATAACTAAAAGAGTGGAATTGGAATGTTTCTAACACAAAGAGATGATAAATACTTGAGGCGATGGATGCCCCAATTACCATGATTTTACACATTGTATGAATGTATTGAAATGTCAGATGTACCCTTTAATTATGTACAACTATTATGAATCCATAATTAAAATGTTTTTTAAAAGGAAATTTTGTGTCCAGTTTCTGAATGTGTTCTCATTTTTAAGTAAAATACACAAGAAAAACAGACATTTAAGTCCATAGACTCCTCATTGTCAGCAAGCACTACTTCTAGACCCTTCCAGGGTTTTAATCACACACAGAACAACTCACTTTTACCCTTATGCTGTGATAGCAGGTGGATAAGAAAGTGGACAGTCTTGTGCTCCACTTACTGTGGGTCAACTGTTCATCTCACTGGCTGGAGTCCGTTAGCTAAGTGGTCATACTGGCCAGAGAGCAAAGCTTCATCAAGTCAATTCCTGTTTTAGTTAGCCAAATATTTTATGTTCTTTTGGTTCATTTTTAATGGAGACTTTAAGCAGTTGGCATTAAGGGCGGGGCGCGGTGGCTCACACCTGTAATCCCAGCACTTTCGGAGGCAGAGGCAGGTGGATCACGAGGTCAAGATATCGAGACCATCCTGGCCAACATGGTGAAATCACGTCTCTACTAAAAAAATACAAAAATTAGCTGGGCATGGTGGCACGCGCCTGTAGTCCCAGCTACTCGGGAGGCTGAGGCAGGAGAATTCCTTGAATCAGGGAGGCGGAGGTTGCAGTAAGCCGAGATCGTGCCACTGCACTCCAGCNAAAAAAAAAAAAAAAAAAAAGTTGGCATTAAGGATAGTTGTTAAAATCCCAAGCTGGGGAGTAAAGGGGTACAAGTACTTTTAACCATTTTAAACATGGTTTCCCCTCAGCCAATATGGATTAAATACTCAAATAACTTAAATCCTTCCTGCTGGTGTGACTTTAAGCAAACTCAACAGTGGCAGTTGTTGCATCATCTCAAAAAAAACATAAAAAACAATTTTCATAAAGAAAAATATTAATGTTCGACTACATTAAAATAACTTTCTGTAGGACAATGAATAAAAAAAAAAAAAAAAAAAAAAAAACATGCTAAACTCCCTGGAACAGAAATTAGATTTCTGTCAGTGAACAATTTAATTCCTTACTTCAAAATAATTTAAGTGTATCAGCTGCTAAATGGTCTCAAAGCTAATCTTGTGGGAAATGTTTCCTGTCATATTAAGAATCACATGACCACATTGCAAGATGAAGACTTTGTTGTTAATATTAAATTTCAGTTTAAATTTATCTCAGCTTCTATGGCCAGGTGAATACGCATTGCCACTGTCTGTCTCTCTTACATTACATTAGCTTTTAGAGTTTTTGTTCGTGAAACCATATATTTTTCCTCCGCATTTGAATAAAAACAATTCTCTTTTCCTAATTTCTAGCAGCAAGTCTGATTCTAACATTTAAATCAACAGGCTTACCTTTTCCTTAAGACTTTTATTTTTCTACTTTTGAGGGATGGATATGAACATTGGCTTTGGATTCAAATTCTTCTCTTCTACCTCCTAGCTGTTTTAACATGTGCAATCAATGTCTCTGGGCTTTAATTTCTTTATTTATACAATAAGGATAATATTTGATGGTTGAAATAATTCAATAGGATCACATATACAAATTGCTTAGTATAGTGCTTGGAACTGAGTAATTAATAAACGGCAGTTGTTACTCTAGTTTTATCTACTTTCTGAATAATAAAATATCCAGCAAGGTATGGCAAATATTTATCAGATATTTAGTTTATAAGAACAGCAGTAAATACCAGGATACTCTACTCCCCATTTTGACCATATCCTGTTCTATGACTATATTTGAAAATTATTCTCTTTCTCCCCTTCTTTCTCTCTCTTGCATGCTGTTCTCCTACCCTAAGTTACCTCCCAAGGTACTACATTTCTTTTCTCTTGAACTGTTGATTCTTACTCAGAGCGCTCAACTCTGAGCCCACCTTCCCATTTGTAGATTTCAATATAGTTTCTTCACATACAATCCTAATCCCTGAAACTGCTGGATTTGATCCTTTTGAACAGGGTGTATGTTTTATTCTGGCTTGGCATCTCCTCTTATCAACACACTCATCCATCTCCCTGTATTAAAATGTCAAGCTAAATTTCTTATTACAGGAGTTAGCCACAGTATCTCTTCTCCCTGGAAATATTTATCTGATGAATGTGCATTTGTCAAATTTAGTAATTGTGAATTTATTTGACTAAAACCATGAGAGGACAGATTTCAATTACAGATTTTGTCTCCCTTCAGTTGCAAATGGTCTGCTTTCCTTTTCTGATTACTCAGTTGATGACTGGTATGATTTGGGGAAATCATTGTCTGTGAGACTGGTTGTTGCCACTGTCGAGTATATTTGTAAAAAACAGCTGTGTTCTGTCTGTATCATGTTATTTTATGAGAACATCCCCCACAAACACACAGCTGAGAGTTTTTTGTGAGATAAAAACTGTTATAGAAAGAGAGAGAGAGAGAGAAAGAGAGAGAGAGAGAGAAATATAGTAAAAGATGATAAAATAGTAGCAGATTTGTTTAAGATTTACATAGACTTTTGTAGACTTGTTCTTCTGAACTGGTACCTTTTAAAACAGGATTCTCTA